TATATGAAAAGAAAAGAATGATTGATGAAGTCGTGACTTAATAACCTTTATTCATAATGATACAATGAAAAAAAAACACAAAATGCTCGTCTTTTTTCATATAGTGAAAATTCGCGAAAGAAGATCAACAAGAAGAAGCGAAACTAGTTTTCTTCTTCTTTTTCTTCTTCTCATTTCAATCAAATAGTCAAACATTTCTTTAATAATGTGGTGCTAAAATTGTTCGAATTTGTTCATCAGCTTTACATCCGCGAAGAAATTCTTCTTTGCTAACATAATTATCTTGATTCACATCAATACGTGAAAAGATTTGATCGACATGTCGACGTGGATTGTTGCCTCCTCGTTTATCTTTCCCTAATAAATCAAACATTGATTGAACAACACTTGACATTTCATGTTTCGAGATACGTTGATCGCCATTGACATCATACATTGTAAATGCCCATTCGAGTTTCTCGTCCGTACTTCCATTTAATGTTATATCGATCGCACACATGAAACGTTGAAAGTCAATGGCATGAGTTTTCATATCGGGATTAAACGTACGAAACACATGGTTGCAAAAGTTCTTCGCTTTACCATTCGGATAGCGATATTGATAAACTTCAATGAATTTCTTTTTATCTAATAGACCTGTAGGACAATCCGCTAGGAAACCGTGCCACCAGTCAAGAATCTCCTGTTTACTAAATTTAGTTTTAGTTAATAGATCGTCAATGATCGCATCTGAAAGATCCGATCTGGTATCGTTATTTAACCGAACTAAATTCGATGGTCGAGTTGGTTTGACATGTTTCTTTTGCGCTGACCCACAACAACCCATTGTTCTCGAAGTCTAAAGCACAAGAATACTTTAATAAGATTTGAAGGTTTTATTAAAAATAACAGACTGCTAAGTACACCTTGATCGTCGTCGATTTTGTGCGTTGATTGTGTTTCCTGCTCGTTCACATATAGACTCTTTTTATGCTTATTTCCATATCATTAACTACAATCAATTGACTGTACTACACGTGTACAAAACAGGTCGAAGAAAGAAAAAACGCACTGGGACGAAGAGAAGAAGGAGGAAAAGTGAAACTCAAATGAAATAACTCGACAAACAAATCAAGCGTTACGATCAGAAAATTGATAATCATAATCCGTTGAAAAGTTTCGATTATTTATTTATAAAACATGTGATGTCCAATTGAAAAAGAGAAGAAAAACAAATAGATTAAAAAACATAGACGATTAATGATATGCGCAAGAAGTATCCATTCTTGATGAATACTATGTTCAGTTGTAAAAAGAAGCAGTTTCTGTTTGATCAAACCAACATCGCGATTTAGAACATTCGATGAAACATTTTGAGAATCAGCAGTAATGCCTGCGGAGTTGTTTGCAACTGAGGTTAAAGGTTCCATAACAGAATCATTAATATCATACTCACTAGAATGCAAATCGATATTCGAGTTAAGTTCTAATGACTGAAAATACCTCTCGCGACCCGCAATCAGTGTTGTGAATGACAATCGTCGAAAACCGACAAGTTTGGATAAAAAGCCAAAAACAAACTAAAAAGTCCAACGAAATGTGATCTTGAGAAAACGACAATGGTGAAAGATTTCGTTGGACATACATTACGTATTTTGATTGATGGTCGTTCAGATGCAAAATATTTTTCATCCGAAAGCATGCGAACTAAGACCGAAAATACTAATGTCATGCCTGTTAAACAAATATCGTAGAAAATCGTCCGTCCCATCCATGGCCATGTCGTACCCAGTCGTTTTGGAACATAAAAAGCAAACATAATTAGCAGAAGAAATTGACACACGAGTAAGATCGAGCCTGAAAATAGATCAGTCGAGAAGAAAATAGAAAACAACTTGTTTCTCATCGTACTATAGAGGATTCGTTCTGGAGCTGACGGTGGAAGAAAAAAGATTGTCAATGTTAACAACATGAGAATTGAACCTGGCCAATTGACAAGTCGAACAAAATAGGTTGAACGGCGATGAATGTCGAAATTAATCGAAATTTGATCGTAACTTCGATCGAAACCGGCGAAATAGACTGTCTGCTGTTGAATAGTATTCGAAACAAAATAATAGCCGTTGGGCATTAAACCTGGCTCATCAATAACAAAATCGAATGTTCTTTCAATTGATACTTCATTGATATCGTAGAGCGAAGAACCCATCTATGAGGAGAAAATCAATGATGAAACTAATCGAATCAAAAATGAGACCAGCTTACTTTGAATGTACAAGTTTGCTGATCAAATGGGAAGTTTGTTAGATCGAAATTACATGGAATGGTGAGTAGGCTGGAATAAGATAATTCACAAAGACCATTCGATCGAATATTAACGAAATGGTTGGCTTCCGAATCGATAGTTGTACTTCTGAACAGTCAACAAGTGTATAAATAAAGAGACTCAAACAATTTTCTCACGGATTGAGTAACTCTATCTTTGGCGTCCAGATCGAATGTGCTGGAACGCGAAAATGTTGAACATTTGCATATTCCGTCGCATTCCAACCGAGTACCGACGCATTCCAAGTCTACAGCGAAAGAAATTCAATCAAATAGAACGTTTTATTGCATGATTAATTACTTGATTTAGATGTGCACGAACAGTTAATTTTGACTCTTCTTCGTTCTAAAACAGGATATTCTACAGTTTAAATTTCTACTCCAGTGAATGGATACGAACAACAGAAACAAGTCGAATCAACGAAAATCCGAGTCGAACAGTCATATTCTGCGAATCATGTTGAACTGGACGTATTGATGGGCGAGATTTTCTCAAAAGTTGCTCGTATAGTTCTAATTGACATGAATAATAATCGGAGCAGTCTGTATGAAATGAAGAAATGAGAATTAGTGAAGAAATCAAAGTGGCAAAGGATTCTATACTTTGAGCGTATGCATTCGTGAAAAAAATCAGTAGAAACCAGTTAAATAATATCATGTTTGACTGTCGTGTGCTTCGAAGAATCTGGAGAATGTAAAAACTAAGTAACTCGTTTTGTTCACAAAATTGCAAGTTGGAACGAGAAATGGCGAAGGAGAAAAAAAAGAGGAAGGATTATGTGGCGAATGTTTCTTTTTCTTTTCTTCTGTCTTTTCTCGTCTTGAAAAAGGAAAAGCATAGAAATGCAATGTTTCTTTTGCAAGATTACTTCTTCTACTTTTTTTTCTTACATTCAATGGGTAGAAAATTTCCTTTTTTTTCTTAAGTAAAAAATGAGTTATATTTTACACTTCATCAGTCGATTGATTATTCTCTAATGGTTATTTCTCGTTTTCCCATTCTCCTAGAAAAACATGCGCATGCAAACAGAATATAAATGAATATTTAAATTAAGAAAAAAAAAACGAAACGAAGACGTTAAAAATGGACGGTGCATATAAGAGAGATTCACTGCAACACAAAAAAAAAACAGAAGAAAGAAAACATAAATTTCGTTCACATGTTTATAATTGACCACATTCTTGAATGAGTATACGTCGGCTCGGTATACCTGTATCACTTCCATATGTTTCGACTTGTTTAATCACATCGAAGCCTTCCACGACTTGACCAAATATAACATTTTTACCGTTTAACCATGGACATGGTAAGAGCGTTATGAAGAATTGTGATGTGTTAGTATTTGGTCCTGAAGAAAAACCAGATGATTGTTTGAATAAGGTAAATACAAACATGAGTCTACCTTGATTAGCCATGGCTAATAAACCAGGGGTGGTAAATTTTCGAGCAAAACTTTCATCATCGAATTTTTTTCCAAAGATGGATTTACCCTATATGAATGAATGAAAATATCGTTTCGTTTCGGTTTAGAATACTTACACCTGTTCCATTGTACCTAACATAGCCGAAATGAAAACAAATATAAAATTACAAGCAAAATCAATAAAACGATACATACGATGTGAAATCACCACCTAAATAAATGAATTGTAGATCACTAATGATTCATTCATTTGTTTACCTTGCAAAAAGTATCCACGAATCACACGATGTAATATAGACGACTTGAATCCGTAGCCTTTTTCCATTGTACATAGAGCTCGAAAATTCTCGCATGTTTTCGGACATTCATTATCAAACAATTCGAATACAATTCGACCAAGAGATGTACTATCAGCATATACATCGAAAAATACTCGAGGAGAAGTCATATCTTAAAAAAAAAGAATTACATATTCGTGCTGATTTGGATAACAAATCATTGTTTTGTGTCACAACAAAAATTCTTGCATGAGGGATCAGTCTCTCGTTTTAATATTCTAATCTCGTCTGAACACACGTATGAAAAGAAGCAATGGTACACTCTTTGAGTCTTCTCTGCCCTTTACTAAAGAGGTTAGACAGTCCCATTCAGATGAAGAAGTGTCGATTAAAAGACAATGAAGGAAAAGAAATCCGTTTCCGGAAACGAAAGGTATTGCCGGAAATCGTTATCATCTTTTCGTTATTAGTCTATAAAACATAATATCTTATTTGATGAAAAGTGCTCTTACACACAGGATGCTATACGACTATCTAAATGAAGAAAGAATTTGAAATATTTTCGGGATGATACTCGAAACACGCTCGGCAACAACTGTCATTTTGTTGCTAAACGATAAAATTCTTCTGAATTCATGTTAGAAGTCTTTTACAAACGGTAAATGTTGGATTGATTGAACGAATCAGAAATGTATTGTGAAGAAAGCTATGACATCTACCGTTTACAAAAACGATATCAAGAGAAGAATTTCTTTTTTCTATGTTATACAATATGAAATCTACAAAAATTAAACGAAGAGATGCGTTGATGAATACATTGGTCTTTTTTTTGAGTCGAAAATGAACAAAAGACAAAGGACGATGTTGAAATGCATTACTCATTGTCTGAAGATCGACCGTTGGTCATTGTTTGAGTGCATCGAGTCTCGGATATATAAGTTCGTCGTCATTCAGCCTACGATCAGAACATTCAGAATTTCCTTGCCTTGTGATAATGCCAGCAAAAACTAAAACACGAGATTCGATAAATGAAAAAGAAAAAGAAACAACGGTGTCAGCACAACCATCAACGACGGTTGGATCTACTGTTCAAATGAACGATACCATGTCTATTGATGCTGACGTTGGCGGGCCAACACCAATCAATAAATTAGATAAATCGTGCGGCATTGGTAACGCTGATTTGAAAAAATTGCAGGAAGCTGGATTTTGTACAGTCGAATCAATTGCGTTCGCACCACGGAAAAGTTTACTAGCTGTTAAAGGTATCAGTGATGCCAAGGCTGATAAATTAGCTGTAAGTTTTCTATTCATATGAAAGAAAAAACTCAGTATTGTGATATTCTCAGGCTGAAGCAGCAAAATTAATACCAATGGGCTTTACAACAGCTACTGAATATCATCAGAAACGATCAGAAATCATTCAATTAACAACCGGATCAAAAGAACTCGACAAACAATTACAAGGTGGTTTTGAAACGGGTTCAATCACTGAATTGTATGGTGAATATCGTTGTGGCAAAAGTCAACTATGCCATCAAGTTGCTGTGACTTGCCAAGTAAATAGTTCTACACTTGACTTTGGGACGTATATCAATCGAACTCTCTCTCTCTGTGTGTTTAGTTACCTATCGATATGGGTGGTGGCGAAGGCAAAGCAATCTATATTGATACCGAAGGAACTTTTCGACCTGAACGGTTATTAGCCATTGCTGAACGATATGGTCTTTCTGGTCAAGATGTTCTTGATAACATTGCGTACGCTCGTGCCTATAACACAGATCACCAAATTCAATTATTGTATATGGCTACAGCTATGATGTGTGAATCAAGGTAAGAGAAAAATATAATTCATCGGATTGATATCCAAACTCATTTCGTCTGATTTTTCAGATATGCTGTGTTAATTGTCGATAGTGCCACATCACTTTTTCGAACGGATTATTCCGGTCGTGGAGAATTAGCAAATCGACAAATGCAATTAGCCAAGTTTATGCGTATGTTATTACGTATAACTGATGAGGTTTGTTTTTTCTCAAATATCTTGTTTTTACAATCATCAATTGAATTTCTCATAACAATTCTGATTAGTTCGGCGTTGCTGTTATTCTTACTAATCAAGTTGTTGCTCAAGTCGATGGTCAAGCAATGTATGGTGATCAAAAGAAACCCATTGGTGGCAATATTATGGCTCATGCGTCAACAACACGGTAAAAGAAGTTCTTATTGACTTAATTTCACTTTTCATCTTTCGACACATTCATTGTAGACTCTATTTGAAGAAAGGCAAAGGTGATTCTCGTATATGTCATGTTGCCGATAGTCCATGTTTGCCTGAAACAGATGCAGTTTTTGCTATCGGACCAGAAGGTATCGTCGATGCAGCACCGAAAGATCTAAATTAATTCTAGCTTATCTTATTTTGCTTTATCTATTTTTGTTTTAAATGTACAGATATGGTGTTCATTATTTGTATATAGAGATAATTCTATCATTGTGTCACCTTTTATTTATCCTTCTCTTGTTTTACTTTGTGTTTACTGAAATATACACACATTTACGATAGGAATGATGACATACGAAAAAAAAAGAGTTTTTTTTTCTCATTGAAGTGATTGACATATCAGACAGACAGATTGAATGAATAAATGGAACAAATGAGGTGTTATACAAAGGGAGGAAAAAAAGCGAATTCTTTATGTCTGAAGACATACTGACAGTTTACACCGTAGGTGGGTGTAGATGTAAATGGAGAAACAGTGGCTATGCCCATTATAAAACAAACATGGCGATTATCGGCTAGGCTGCGTCAGACTCCTCCGTCATCATTGTATAATATAACTTAAAAAAGGTGCGACAATGAGGAGGTGGCTTGCATAAGAATAGGCCTTACATACATATATATATAATGTTAGAACAATAGCTGTAATTCCATCTCATTTTTACTTGCGCTATGATTATTGATCTTCTATATGTATATATATGTATATGTATAACGAATAGGTGATTGTGATGAATAGAATATGTATGCATACATGTATATGAGTGGGAGAGAAGAGATCGTAAGAGGTGGAGGAGGAGAATGAGACAGAGAACGACGTTTTAAATTGTAGTACAAGTAAGAAATCGGATGCAAACGATCATCAACGAAAGGAAATGTTCGTTTCATTTGAACACAAATAGATAAAGCAAATAAGATAAGCTAGAATTAATTTAGATCTTTCGGTGCTGCATCGACGATACCTTCTGGCC